TCTATTCTGCATTCAAATTTTTATGGGACTGACTTGTCTTTTGACTGATTCTAGTAGAATCATGTAGTATGGATGAGAAGCATTCTCAGACCACTGAAGACGAAAATTCGTTTTCTGAGGAATGCGTAGTCGATGGACTAGGAAAATAAAATGTTTGGAAAGAATTCAATGAATGGAAACCGAAGCAGAAAGAAATAAACGAAAAAGTCGAATCAAACCACACTGAAGAACAATATGAGTCATTAACTAATTTCATACACAAAAAATAACCTATGTGAAACGATCAAGGAAATTACCTTTCCCTTTCCTGCACTTGTCTTCATGAATTTGTTTTTTACTATAGTATTAAAATTTTTCTTGAATCAATAGTCAATCACCAAATTGAGTTTAGACAAAAAATGGTGATTCACGACCCCAAAACTCTTGATAGAATCGGCTGCCATCTTTAATTTCCTGAATATCGACAAAATGATCATGATCCCTGAGCCTGAAACCTCACATGTATAAATTTCCAATGAAATCAGACAATCATGAAACCCATTTCTCAATAATTTTATGACAAAAGATACATAATCTCTGAACCTGAAAATTCTCACATAGCAATTTTCAATCAGATCAGACCATCAACACAAAACTCGTCAGCCATCTTGAAGCCACCATCTTGAATTCATCGATTTTGACAAAATATTCATGATCTCCGACCCTGAAGAACCCCCATATGCCAATTTTGGAACCAATCGGACCATAAACATGAAACACGTTTGTCATCTTGGAGCCGCCATCTTGAATTCATGAATTCTGACAGATTCATAATCTCTCACCCAGAAAACCCCTACGTACCAATTTTCAATCAAACCAGACCAGAATCACAAAACTCGCCCGCCATCTGGGAGCCGCCATCTTGAATTAATGAATTTTGACGAAGATTTCATAATCTTCGACCCTGAAAACCCCAACATACTAATTTTGAATCAAATCGGACAATAATCATACAACTCGTTCGCCATCTTGGAACAGCCATACTGAAATCTTGACATCTGATTAAAAAAATACTAATTTCCATTTCTCCAATAGTTACGAAAAAATTGTTATCTCAGACCTCGAAAACCCTCAGATACTAATTTTGAATGAAATCGGACCATAATCATAAAACTCGTCCGCCATCTTGGATTCATGAGCTACGACCCGAAAACCCCCATGTACCAATTTGTTATCGAATCGAACCACAATCACTATATTCGTTTGCCATCTAGGAGTCGCCATTTTGAATCAATGAATTCTGATAAAGAATTTACAATCTCCGACTCCGATAACACCTACATATCAAATTTGAATAGAATCGGGCTATATTCACAAAACCCGTGCACCATCTTGAATATATCAGGCAGATCGCTTCACGTGGTGGTGGACGGTGTATCGTCTGATACCATTGGCATCAATTCCGGCGTTCCACAAGGATCAATTTTGGCACCAACATTATTCCTGCTTCATATCAATGATTTGTTGGGAGTAACAACTTGCCCCATCCACAGCTTTGCAGATGATAGTACCCTCCATACTGCGTTCTCTTCCAGAATTCCCATTTCTTCCCAGGAAACTAAGAACTCATGGCGCAGGCAGGTCAATGCTGTCAATGAAGATCTTGCTGAAATCACAGCCTGGGGAACAAACAACCTAGTTGAATTCAACGCCACCAAAATTCAGGCCTGCATTTTCTCTAGAAAGGCAGAACTCAGTATGCCCGATATTGTAATGTCTGGCTCCACCATCCCCACCAAGCCCACCATATCTATGCTCGGTATTTCCATCAGCAACACTCTTTCATGGGATAATCATGTCAGATCCATCGCAAAAGCTGCTTCACAAAAACTCGGATTCTTGTTCCGTGCGAAAAGCTACTTTACACCTCAACAGCTTTTCATGAATTACAAAGCGCAGATACGGCCTGTTCTAGAATACTGTTCCCACATATGGGGTTCAGCACCAAAACATACGCTGATGCTCTTAGATTCCATCCAGAGAAGAGCCATTCGCCTGGTGGGTGACGCCACACTCACTCACTCTTTGACATCATTGGAACAACGTAGAAAGGTCGGCGACCTTTCACTTTTCTATCGATACTTCCACGGGAAATGTTCTTCGGAAATCTCTGCTATCATCCCTTCTCTAGCAATACCAATCAGACGAACTAGACAAGCCCAGTCAGCACATCCTTTCGTTGTCGACCTCGAAAGATGTCGAACAGCACTTTATCAAGACTCCTTCATCCATAGAACGGCTAGGCTCTGGAATTCATTGCCTGTGGAAGTATTCCCAACAAGATATAATCTCCAAAAGTTCCAAAAAAATTCCAATACCTACCTCCTGTCCCTATCCTCCCTAGGAATGCACGATGTTCTTTGAACATTATAGGGATTCCCTTTCGTGCGCTCCAAGCGATAAAAAAAATATGAAATTTGGGAAACAATAATACATAACCTCTGACATCGAAAACTGCCACACCAATTCTGAATAGGAACAGACCATGTTCACGAAAATCTTCCGCCATCTTGAATTAATTATACCTACTTCTCCTCGAAAAACTCACTATCCCCGACAACCCACAAATATCAATTTTGAATAGAATCAGGCCATATTAATTATAAAATTCATCCACTTTCCTGAATTCTTGATTATGTCTAAAATAATAATCCCATTTCCCAAAAACTCGCAGCTACTTATGCCATATTAGTCATCACGAATTCTTCATTTGATTGTTGAAAAAATCAATATCACAGACAATTTTTTGTAGAATATTCAATATTGTGTTGCCAACAATCTCCTACCTTCCTATTTCCATGCTATAGATAAACAGTTGAAAAATGTACGTAGCAGGATATAAGATATATTAAGATAACATGAGCTCCACGACGTTGCCGGATTCTCGGATCTCACTTTTGTTCAAATATCTCTAGTTATATACTCCGTCGTGAGCGACCCCTACCTTCAACAGTCATGAACTACTGATGTATAAAATCTGTGAAAAATTGTTCAGATGAGATCCGGCATGAAATTCAAAACAGAACTCTATCGTATCGATATTGTCTGAAAAACTCTGATATACACATTGAAAAAGGCGAGATCCGAAAATGGATCTCGACTTTCCAAAATGATCTCACCTTGGTAATCATTTATATACAAATGATCTCATCTTTCCTCTTTATAAATCTATATATATATATATATATATATATATATATATATATATATATATATATTATCTGGTATATTCTTAATGAAACAATTCTCATCTAGCTGATGAAAGTTCAGTTCATTTAGTGATGTGTAAGACAATTGATCCCTTCGTATTCTAAAGAGACCATAAAACGTTTGATTATTAATTGTATTGTAGGTGGATCATAGATGGTAGCAACTGATGCCTGCCTCTCAATCATCGAATCAATCCACGAGATCTCTTGTTGCTAGTAATACCCTCATATCTAATTTTTGTTGAGATAATGTTCTCGTTATCCTTCATTCATTGATGATGAGGAACTCTTTGCCATCAGTGTGCAAATAATTGATGCACATTCCCATTTGTCGTTGCTCTGGAGTTTTGTTTCTGCCTCAATTTTCTCATCTTAAACATTATATCACAGGTATTCCGGGTCTTCCTACTTCTCTTTTTATATCAACGAAAATGAACCTTCGTATGTATTTTATCAAATTGCATACGAAATTTCATTTTCGTGAGTAGGTATCATTCATTTATACCAAAGAACAGATCAAAACCTACAAATGATGAAGCTGCACATTCTCACAATAATTGCTTCGTGCCCTGAGACACTCAATGAGGGCTAACTGTTATTGTCCACCACATCGCGCCACTGAAAAGTGGGGACAGAGTTGTTAGAACTGATAAATATACTTCTTTTTTTCCTGTCATTTCGCCTCTTCCTACGATATCTTCTTCTTTCCATAACTTGAGTTTTTCTATTTGTTCAAATGGGCCACATCATTTTTTCCAAAAATGTTCGATAAAAAATTGACCTCATGTTTCAGCGTCAAAAGATGTTCGTTGTATGAATACCTCAGAATGAGCCAATCCAGGATGATTCTGCCAGGAGGACTCTTCAGTCCAGTTGGTGAGTATATATAGGTTCGGCCGGGTTCGGCAAAACTTGATGTGGGCTCTTATCTTATGAAACCACTTGCAGTACTCTGCATTACAAGGGATTTTGCTGTTCCATCACCATCAATACTAGAATAGTCAGGAGTCCAGCTAGAGAGAATTTGTGTGTTTGAGAGTATTTTTTGATAGATCAATAGCAATTTAGACGTTGATCGGTTATCTGCTCTCCACTGCAGTATCTCTAACACTATACCTATCACCTCGCCTATCACTTTATTTATAACAATAAAACTTGAAGATTATATCATTCGACTCCATTTAGTCAGTTGAGCTGATATTATTCCGTAGGTATCATTTTGCCTGATCACATTATCACTGCATGGCACAGATTATGTGGAATCTTCCTCTATATCTGATTTGAGAATGATATTGGATATTGATTTGAAACTTATCAGTGGTATTGTCGATTAATTGTCATTATTATTATACCCACCCCTCGAACCCTATTATCTGCGACTGCTGCAACGAGTGCTGTAGTTAAACTGATTTATCATAATTTTTGCTGCATTGGTTCATTTCCTAGATGCCTCGCAATAAGGCAAAAATAATGTTTATGAAAAAGCGTGAAAAAGCGAGTTTTAAAGACATTTCAGAGATGTCATAGAACGTTGTATACAACCAACCTTAGTAAGAAATATAATAAATCATCCATAGCGAAACATCGAATGAATGTTCATTATCGTGGTGTATTGTTTATACTACTCCATTATTTACTCTAAAGCGATCATGTCGGGGAATATTTAGACCAAAATGTCTTCTCACTTCTACTGTCAAAGGCTTCCGCAATAAATATTGACAGTAACAGTTTCGCTGTCTGATAGTGCCTCAACTAGCGTACTTCTATACCGAGTACACCTACCTTTATTATACAGCGACCTTCTGCCTCATTTTCAGCTACAGTTACATTGTAGAAACTCTGATCGAAGATGGGTTCATTATCGTTCACATCGTGAATGGTCACTAACACTGTCGCGGACGAACTTAGAGGAGGAAACCCATTATCTGTTGCGACAACTGTCAACCGAGGTAATGGGTCAGTCTCACAATCGACGTGAGCACGCGTCGTCACTAACCCGCTTCTAGCGTCTATGTGGAACCACCCGGAATGGTTTTCCGGATAGTCCACAAGAGAATACGTAATCGCACTGTTATTTCCCTCGTCCTTATCAGTCGCAACGACTTGGATCACCGAGGTACCCGGATCAGAGACTTCCATCACGTTGGCATTGTACGTTCTCTGCTCGAATTCGGGAGCGTTGTCGTTGATGTCAGTTATATGGAGGTTGATGGTCCTAGAAGCATGCAGAGGTGGCGTTCCGGTATCTGTGGCCACCACATCCAATGTGTAGTTGGGCTGCAGCTCTCTATCCAGAGGTAGCGAAACGATAACCAAGTAGATTATGTTGTCCCTAGTGGTGAGCCCAAAGTGTCCTTCACCGCCGCTCAGCGTAACGTTCACGTTAGAATAATCGGTTTTGGAATCAGGATCATGAACACTTATTCTGGCGACGAATTCTCCTGGCTGAGCCGACTCGCTTATTTTAGGAGTAGCATCGTCACTCAGGAAGATGACGTTAATGGTGGGCTGGTTGTCATTCACGTCGGTCACTCTGATGGAAACAAACGCGGTAGCTTCCAATGGTTGCAAGCCATGATCTTTGGCTACGATGACCAGCTCGTGGAGCTCTTTCATCTCGAAATCTAATGGTTTATTGACAAATATCACTCCTGAGGAGGGATCTATGCGGAACATGTTGTCCTTGTCACTCTGGCGTCTATTGATCGAATATTCGATTTGGCCATTTTGTTCAGCATCCCCATCGGTGGCTATCACCTCGAGGACGCTGGTCCCGACGGTGGTATTTTCGGGAATGGTAGCGAAATACCGGCTTTGGTTGAATACTGGAGGGTTGTCGTTGACGTCCTGAATAGTGATGTTGACCGTCATTTCACCACGCAAAGGAGGAGTTCCTCCATCCAGAGCTTCGATTACTAAACTATATGACGGAGTAGTTTCCCTATCTAAGAATCCATTGATTTGGAGATCTAGGTATAATACTCCGTCACGTTCTCTGTGGGATGACAACCTGAACACGTTGTTTGTGTTTCCTGATATTATGTTGTACTTCTGTGTATTGAAGATGTCCAAGTCCAAATCCCTAGCTGGGTGTAAAGTTCGTTTCACATCCCTGGGAGTGTTTTCTGGGAATTCTATATTCATTAGGGACGAGGGAAATTTGGGGGCATTGTCGTTTTCATCCAAAACTTTCACTACAACTTTCACATTATCGCCACTCATCGGTATCGCTACTAAGGAGTAACTGGCGCGAGTTTCTCGATCTAGGGGTACTTTCGTCCTTATTTCACCGGTGTTCTGGTCTATGGAAAGGTCTGAGTCAACGGCGACTCCTACCGGGACTATGAGATAGGGTGGTCCACTGTCCAGAGATGCCCCGTCTCCAATGAAGCCGATTTTTGTTCCTACTGGCGCGCCTTCTGATACTTCTAGATCACGAACGAACTCTGCTCCTGCTGCTGTGAGGATCAGCAGGTTCGCCAGGAAGACCAGCGCCATTGCGGGAACCATTATCGTCATCGCTCGCACATCCTGAAATGTATAGAGGGGATTAGTATGTGTGTGTGAGTGTAGAATTTAACGATTCATTAAATTTAATTTGTTGTTGCTTCCTCTATCATGGTTTTCGATTATATCCTAACATCTTTCAAATACGGTACCAACATTTCGCTCTTTTCGAAGTGTATAAAGCTTATTTTCAATCAAACGTTATATCCTTGAAGACTTATATGAACGAGATCAATGACTTTTGATTGCGATTCATGTAAGTAGATATTCAACTATCCAACGTATTGTAGCTATCTACTCAGTACGATATTATATAGGTTACCTATTATGATTTCAAACTGCATGTTATACTCCTACCTAATATTGAAAAATATGCTTCATCATGTTTAACTAACTCGTATATTATGACATGAGACAATTTCTGATATAGTTCAGCTACCTAGTTTGTAGGTATATGTATTGAAAGAAACAACAAAAAACATTTTTCTACTTCAGAAAAATGTTAGTTGGTTCGAATATCGATGCATATTCAATGATCTGATTTCACAGCTGAATGATTCTGAATTAATTCCATTGGACCATCAGATTGAATAATTTACACTATCGTTGATTCCATCAACTTCACCGAAAAGAATCACTCGATCCAATTTTTATTCAAAATCGTATTGATGAATGTGTTTACGAGTGTTTTCATTCGATAGTTCAACACTCGATTCAACGTACTTATAATAGGTATATTATAGCAGCCATCAAAACAAGTACTCAAATTATCCTGTGGCATTTAGACAAACCGGTCCAATAACCAAGATATATGTTTGTTTGTCTGAAGCGATTCATTGAAGCGAACTCTCAAACTGATTTCAATATACTAAGAAAACACAGGTCATGAAGTGGCACCTTCTCATACTCTCCGAAGACCCATCAGAGAACATCCCTTGACAGAGACGTGCTAATAACCAGAACAAAAGCGCTACTAGCCTCTCTGAAAACATTCTTCATAACCTATACACTAGTGCGGTCAGCAATCTTTAAAAATGTTTGTAATGGTTCCCCAATTAACCAGATTCTTTGATGTTGCCGAGTGCGGGATGTTTTGAATCTCAACAGCTTCAGGTGATATAAGTGAAAAAATCCCCTAATCCCTTATACGTATACGTACCTAAGCTTGAAACCATACCTAACTTCAAAACATTATGGATGAAGTATCAGGATTGCTTGATGACTAATGTGCATCTAGAAGGAATTCCAAGAGTTTTCATGAAATGGTACAGCGGTATACTTAGATGATGCCGAAGATGCTAACAATTCACTCATATGAGTTGAGCTAATTCGAGAAATCTGTCACAATGTTGTATCTGTGGAATGATTGAAGACATTTCTCTCGCACACACATACCTGTTGTTAAAAATTTATCTCGTGCTACTCTCGCAGAAGCTGCGATCCCGTACTATAGTAGATAATCCCAAGTAGTGTTCACAAAACATTCGCACTCGCACTATAGCACCGTTCTTCGATCTTTTATCACGGAACTCGTTTCGCGGTGCATTCAGTTCATCGGACAGTCGGCTGTTTCGGGTTCCATGGCCAGATTCGATTGAATAACAAGTAAACAATAGGTTGTATCGCGGAGGCAACGATCGCGCCGTAGGTATTCCACGTCTCGGATCTTGAGATGAACTAAGCGAGAGTCAGTGGTGCCTGTTCGGCCCCCCCCTTCGCATTCCGACCTGCCTCGCCCCGCAACCTGTCCAGTGGGCAGCAGAAGCAAAGAGCACAGGTACGAGCGACTCTGGCCTGACTCTCAATACGGCGGTAAGTTTGAAACGGGCATCTTTCATTGTCTGGCCTACAGAAACAATCTATTGTCTTGTCTATTCGCGGGTCATTTCGCTGATGAGCACACACTGAAATACGCAATAATATATTCATAATAGGCCCTGCAATAAATCCTGCAATTCTTGGCTGGGTTTGTGTCCTCGGCGAGCATCTCGGTCTCCGGGAGAGATTTGGACGATAGCTTAGCACAGCAACCACACATATGATTACAATAAATCCGGGCTTATGCGGACGCGGTGATAATAAATATGGCAGACTAAAATGTAACATGACTTCTTTAATATTATTTATGTGTATTTTAAACTCAATCCCGAGTGTTGCGATTAAGGATTTTTCTCGACTCTTATATTGTATCTACAGATTGCGATCGCAGGTTTAACAGAAGGATGTCTTGTATACAGGGTGGACACTCAGAGAAATAGTCGGTGGTGAATACCAAACGTTTTGTGAAATAGGCGCCAGTCACAACATTCATCAAATGATATCACAACAAAATTGTATCATAGTATACTATAAGTATCATACTATTTTGTAGTGGGAATATTTTTACTAAACGTTTGGTATTTACTACCGACAATTTTTTTCAGTGTATCCAAATAGCAGCGAAAAAATCATGGGGTGATTCTGTGATGAAAAATATGGTGGGTATTTGCTATTAAATTTTTTGAAAAATATTTTCCAGGGAAAAGTTACACCCTTCTGATGAAAAAAAATGTTCTCGTTTTCCATTCCCCTTATACTTATATCAAGCTGAAGACACGAAACTTGGTAAATATCATTTTTTAATGAAACTACACATTTAAGAATGTTTTCAACCCTGGAGTATGCTTAGGAGGTGTTGAAAATGTTGAAATATTCAACCCCTGAGATATTTTTTCTTACAACGTTTTTGGATAAAAAAGTTAGTGAATGAATTGGGTTTCTCAACCGTGGTTTTTCAAAGATGATCAAGAAGATGAGGAAAGGCAGAAAACGTTTGTACTCGTAGCGGTATAGTTACACTAGTTTCAATTAAATGTCAACTTTTCTGGTTGATGGGGAGTTATCATATTGTTGTTGACATCGAAAAGTGGTGTGCATTGAAACCGTTGTTATATGGCGTTCAAAAAAAATCCAGTATTCACTTTTAATTCCTGATGGATTTAAAGTGCCAGGATTTAAAGCACCCTTTATTCCCTGAAGTTTATCCTACCTAATACTTATTTATACACTAAGGTGACCAAGGTAGTGAAGAATATCATCATACCCAGGCACCAAGAGGCTTCAAGGAGTATTATAGGTTCCGTGGTATATTCTTAATGTTAGAGTATTGCGGACTATGAGAAATCCAAAGTCATGAGACTTTGTGTTCCCCACTTATTATTCTATTGTGGACTATGAGAAATCCAGAAAATCAAATATCATAAAAGCTGGTCCACCCGTTGTTCAGTTGTGAATGGTGTAACTAACACGATTTTCGTAGATAGATAATGTTTTTTTTTATCTCTTGGAGTATCCGAAAGGGAATCCCTATGATGTTCGAAGAACATCGTTCGTAACTATAGGGAGTAAGAGGAGGTATAGGTATTGTTTTTTTTTTTACTTCTGGAGATTATAAGTTCTTGGGAATACTTCTTTCAGCAATGAATTACAAAGCTTTGCCGTTTTATAAACGAAGAGTTTCGTTTCCAAGACTATACTTGTAATAAGCCCAATATTTTTTTGACGTAGAATCTGAGGGATTCTTCTTTTCCTCAGGAACAACGGTTTTTGAGAGAATTGTCTGAAACTAGAATAGTGTAATGTGCAACAAGTGAGAAAAGTACTTTTCCCCACATGTTACACACTATATTTTTTATACAACCGCACAAATTCAAAGAATAGTTACAAGTAATGTAACTTATCGGTATTCATTTTATACTGTGGCACTTCGCAACATTGAATATTGCAATCAAAGAGTAGACGCCTTTCCTAGTTCCTGGACGTATACGAAAAAAGAACATTTTCCGAAATAGTAATTTTTGTATCTAGAGCGCGAAATGCTACTTTGGTGATCGAGATCTGATTTTTTTAACGAGGCGTAGCTGAGTTAAAAAATAGTCGAGATGACCAAAGTATTTCGCGCTCGAGTTGCAAACAACATTTTTTTCTACAAACGTCAAAAAATATAGTTCTGAGGTAAAAATATGCTCAGCTTGATATAAAAAATTGTGTTGAACTGGCTTAAAAGGCCACTCCCTATTCTCCCTAGGTACGCACGATGTTCCACGAACATAATAGGAATTTCCTTTCGTGCGCTCCAAGCGATAAAACAAAGTTATTGTTGAACATTCAGAAATGAATGATTTCGTGGATATTTGCTCGATTGAGGACCATAAAGTTGAAATATAAATATCTCCTGTATTCTATACATAACAATGCGCGAAGTAGGTACTTCGCGCACTGTTTTACTTCGCGCATTGTTTTGTGCAAGGTATCATGGTAGCGTAGGAAACTGAAGAAAAGTGTCACTTCGCAATTTGTTATCAATGCGCGAACCTTGTCATTTTTTAACGTTTCTATAGAAAAAAGATTTTATTGTTGATTTTTTTTTACATTCCATAAATTTTTCGTATCCCAATTCATACTCTTTCTTTAAATATCCAGCAACAAATCTTTTGCAGCTTTTTCCATTATCTCTGGCGGTGTAATATCGTCCCTATACTCGCAGTATATTCATACTATTTATTATGAATTTAAAAAACTTCCGCTGAGAGTTCTGACAACTATCAACAGAAGCCGACTAACATTTTATCAATTTCTGTTGATTCTCCATGGAAAAATGTATGTGATGTTGACAAAGTACCGTGAAAAAAAATATTTCTCACAGTATGAGCAATATACTTTTGAAATTGAGTGAGCTATGAAAAATACGCTACTTTTCATAGCAGTTCTAGAATAGTAGATTGTTTTATTAGGATCAAAAGTGACACTTTGTTTGACAAGCGAATTTTGCAATTGCGAGGCGGAGCGTTTAGCGAAGCCGAGCGAAAGCAAAATTTGCGAGTCGAACAAAGTGACTTTTGATCCGAATGAAACATGCTATTTTTTCTGCAACCAAAACAATTAACTCAAATAAACATGTGAAGTAACCACCAATGCCGTGCCATATGTATGCAATGCAACAAATATTGACAAATAATCCATGTGGTGAGAAT